AACGCTTTATGTATTCCCAAAGCGTCGTTTTTATCAGGCCCGGGGTCAAAGGCAATAACTGATCGTGGAACGACGGACGTTGCACGAAGTATGCGATCAAATTGCTTTACGGTATTCCGTTTGATTCGTCTAGAAGTATGATTAACACCTTATGTTTAAAGAGAGCTCGTTCCAATTTACATTTGTATTTCGAACGAGTTTTAGTGCAGAGACCGTTCGTCTGTGTGCAATTTTTCGACACCTGGGAATCAAATTCGATCGACGTTTAATTTGTGTATTAAATCGACTCAATTATCTGAACAAAGTGAAACGAAGCGAGAGATGTCGGTGTTGGTTTAAGATTCAGTTTTCCACGTTTGGCCCGAGGGGAACAAACTCGGCGCGCTCTTAAATAATCTACTCAATTATTTATTTCTAGCTTTTCCCGAGTCGGCCGTTCAAGAATCCTTCTTTTGTTCCGCGAAACGAGCAACCGGCCGCACCCGTAATTTAGTCCCGGCGAGACCGGGGGATTGGATGGGATACGTAGGTGGGAACGTGAGAAACGCGTCTAATGAAAAAGTATGCAGCGACGTGCGTGCGACCGGCCGATTTCCGTTCCGCATGAAACGTCGTCGTCTCGCGTAGATATTTTTCAATTATCCGTCACGCTCCCCTGTGTTCAAACTTCGACCCCTCGTTTCCTCAATTTTTAACCGAATTTGCTCCTCGCGTGTCAAATTGAAACGGTAATGAGAAAACGAGATCAGCGAAGGAACGACTAAATTTTATAATCGAAGTGACAGTGAATGACCAAGAATAATGTACAATGCGACTGCGAAGCCTATCATCTGCTTACATCAAACAATGCTAACAACCGTTTCAGAATAACTCAGAGAGAGAGCGAGAGCGAGACCATGGAGATGGACTCTGGAGTTACGGTACGAGCAATAAAAACCGTTTTTAGCAGTGGTGAAATTACTGTTGGACGAAGCTGTGTTCATAACTTCTCGTTAACCGCGTTTTTTATTTCCTCCTCTCCTTTTTCCGGCTGACCCGCGTACAAATACCAATTTTATTCTCTCATGCCGATTTTCTTATCTCGTGACGCGTTAAAATAAGACTCGCGAGATCTTCTACGGATGGCTAGTGGAACGAGTGACTTGTTACAGGGAGAAAGCTAAGAACAGCAGCGTTTTAATGACCTCGTAAAGGAGTAATGGTTAATTTCGTGGAGTGCACGAATGTGGCACGTGCCTCTTGGGAAGAGTAATAAGCATTTTTTCATATCTCTGATACCCTAAAAATATTTTATTGCTCTCTCGTTAGGCTAATTCTAGAATATTGCTCCACGGTCTGGCCTACATATTATAGAATTCATATGTATACAGACTACTATCGAAAGGATTCAATGCAAATTCTTCGGGTATCCCCGTTCGTTTGACTTGTTACAACTGTGATTCTACTCTCGCTGAATCTAAATTAAGCACATGAGAAATCAGAAGGAGAGCCTTTTGCTCGTAAGATTGTCACACTCGAAATTAACGTTCCGTAAAACCTTGAGAAAACACGAATTATCTTTTGTTGAACATCACTGTTCTCTGTACGGATATTACAATGCGATAAATCGGATGATCGTTTATGCCAATTTGCCCGTTCGAGGAAAGTTTTAACAAACGAAATTTCTAAAACAAGCCTAAAGACGAATATACATTTAATCGGACATCTGAGAAGAACGAAGTTACAATCCTCTATCGGTGGAAAGAAGCTAATTTTGTAAAAGCTCCTCCCTCGAACTTCGCCGACTTATCTCCTATCGGTTATGATCGCACTAATAAGCAAAAGTTCTCGAGGAAACGGCTGATTAAATTAACCGCGGCTTCGGGTTAATTATTTCGCGGCGTAATTGCAATTAAACCTTCGAGCTCCTCGTTTGCTATTGTAATCGAGTAATGGCCGAACCCTGTCACCCTTTCCCTCCTGTTTCTATGTACGATATTAATTTGTACGAGGGGACGAAAAAATGACGGGCCAGTATATTTTAATGTCGACTCGTCCGTGACTTCATTTCTGGTTTCGCCTTAACCAGCCGGAAACATATTTCCACGGTAGCCGTGACGCTGTTCATTTCGCGCGACATAATTGAAATTAAAAAGAGGGACGTGAAAAAATGGTACCTTACTAAAATTTCAAACTATCTAAGTTCAGGCGAACCGAATAATAAATTTTTAAACAAACCTGACACCACCAGCTTGAATAATATAGATACTCAGTTTTGTCAGTGTGGCATTATTGATCGTACTGTACACTGGTAATTCTAACAAACGAAATTATAAATAAATATAAATAATGACGTATCTAAACTGAATTTTCATATTGAATCTTTAAACGAACGTCATACGACTAGCTTGAATATAGACAAGTTTTGTCAATATGACATTATTGATTGCATTGACAACGAGTCGTGCAAAGTGCCTTTTCCTGTTTTTATCACCCGACTAATGAAGCGTCTAAACCTACGAGAATCTCACCAGGCTACTTGATTAAAGAATTTCGCCGAGCCTCCGCCGTTCACTTTCCCTAACGCGCATCAATTTCATTTAGTCAGAGTTTGTTCTACATAATTGAGAGAGTTCCTTCAAAAGCAGCGATAAACCCGGTGTCCCAATAGCGGGACCAAGAATAGTCTACAAGCCGTCGCCGAGCCGTGAAATCAATTACGCTATCTGTTACGGATAAACTTTCTCTTCCTGCGACTTAATGAATATGTCAGGGGACCGGCCGATTGAATATTCACGAATCACCGTCCCGGCTGCAACGAGATCTTTCCACGCGAATTTACTCGTTAATCGACTAGGATTAAATACATATTAACTAATCTTAGTAAAACTACTAAATGCATAAATTAACTATACAATGCAGATCATTAAATGATATAATTTATCATTTCATTACTTAGTATTGATCTAAATTTATTCTTGTCAAGCTAAACAATGAAATCAAAGAACAGTGGATAATTCGACTGTACCGTGTAATCTAAACCTGTAGTTTCACAGGCGGCGTTAACTAGAAGCTTGGCGTTGATCTTGTGAAAATTTCACGGCCTCTGTAATCGAGGAGGGACATCGTCGCGACCGCCGATCGGTCCCGGTTGGCGCGCGTTAAGGGCCACGTAAATCAGGGCCACCTGTTCGCGAACACCTGCGAACGCAGTTCTCCTCGCCCTTTAAACCGTTTAGTTTAGTTTGAACCGCGGCGTGTCCCGGCGCCAATAGCCGTCCACGAACTTCGCCCAACCTGTCCCGATAATGTCGGTTAATATCATGTAAATTGCAATTAATATTCATGGGGTTAATTCGCCGCGCCGTCGCCGGCCCGTTGCGCGCCGCTAACTTTTACCCGCAATTTACGATCGCCAACAAACGTATTTCGGACTCCGATCGTCGTACAGATACACCCACGCGCAGACCGTTTCATAATAGATTTCATTTTCTAAACTCTACAGCGGCAATGTTTTATCCTAGATAAAAGTCGGTGGTTTAAATTAATTACATTCCTGCGTCTAATAGGGAGAAATATTTCCGAAATTCCGATGAAATTTTACAAACGGGTTCGATCGTTTATCTTCATTTCCCGGTCATTAGAAGCGTCTCGCGGGACAAATTAGCGCACCTACGAATCGCTTAATCGCGCAAACGTTCTTGCCACGAGGGCCATGAAATTGCTTTCTTCGTTCGTCGACGACAAGTAATTCGTATAATTTGTTAACGAGACGTTGCAATACCGTGGCTCGAAACAAACAAATGTCCGTCGTTTCCCCTGTCGCGATACACCCTCCTCCCCCCCAGGGCATTGGGACGGGAAACGGGCACGTACAATTTTCCCTTTGCCTTGTTACCCAAGCTGGAACTTCTTGCGGAAATCTTTCATCCCGACGACGTGCATACATTGTACCTCAAAAGTATCTAAACACCAGCTGCCGCTATCGATAAGGAGTTCAACGAAACGTTGGATGAATTTCTAATACGTCGTCAATTAAAATAAATAAAATTCATTAATTATTTTATTGATTACATTAAATAATTTTATTGGATCTGAGGAAGTAGTGGAGATAATTTTGACCAGCGATGTACCAGGGAGAATCATTCGGCCGGACAATGAAACACGATGTTTAATATAGCCTCGAACTAAATGTACTGCGGACTAATTTAATTAAATAATAACAAAGGAAACAACTTCAATTTCGAGTTGCCGCGTTTCCCCTACAATCCTACATTATCTCATGTTTTTCGAGATCCCCTGCCACGAGTCTCCCTTCGGAATACACGGTAATTTTAAGGTACGCTGAAATATTCAACGAACGAAGACGGAAAATACATACTGTTCCCTGTTCCCGCGGGCGAAAATTCAAGAATAATATCAGCCTGCGAAGCTGATTCCGTTATTGTTATTATATTATTCAATGATGCGAGGCGTGCGAATTATTTTCCTGTCTTGTAATCTTCTCGATTGCCAGCCGATCGGAGCTATTCTAGTTTCGGTGATGCTACTACATTTGTAGTTTAATCTGTCTTATTAGGAATTAAAGGACTCAATGGAATGGGATAATTCCATTATTAAACTGTCCATCTCCTAATTATCTGCATGGAGTTTGTTCTGTACTTTCTGATATTCTCGTTGCTATTTATTACGAGGGTAATTTCATTAGCAGGATAAATTAGTCTGAGATTAAATTTCAAATTTAAAATAATCTGTCACCGTGTTAATTAACTTCTTCATCTCTTTTCTATTATTAACTATTATGTCAGTGAAAATGAATCCTTCGGTGCTTCATCTGTCCATCAGTACAAATGCAATAAAATACTCTATTCGATGATAAAATTATCGCGTTATTATTAATTATTATATCAGAGAAAATTCTGATAAATCCTTCGTGCAGGATACGTGCAATAAAATATTTCGTAGAAAAATTCGATGATTTGATCATCACGCTTTGAGTAAGGTAAGATGTTTCGACTCACCATGGATCTCGAGGGTCGGGCAGTGTTCTGTGAACGGAAATCAGGTCACTGACGTACTGATTGAACGCGTTGTTCAACCATCCATCGTCGACGAGTTTCTTAGTCTCGGCAGTTAAATTCGTTGGCAGGATCACCGGTCTCCCCATTTCACCAGGCGCGCTCGAATCCTGTTCGCGAGGAGCGACCAACACGCCGCCACCTAAAATCAAAAAAGTGACAAACGCATTTTCATCTGACCGTTTAAATTGACCGAGCTTAAGAATTTAGAGAATTTCGATATCGCGTACGTATACTACGTCACATTTCGAGGTCTGTCTATGAAGTTGAAGCACTGACTTTTGCACGCGAACTTGCTAAACGGAGCTAATAAGCCAGCGAGTAGTAATAATCTAGCGAGTAGTAATAATCCAGAAACCAATGTGTAACTCATTAACAAGATAAATTGACTCGTCCGTTCCCAGTATGAATTTTGAAACTTCACGAACATATTCGAAAACTCGTCCCTATCATCAGCCAATTTCAATTTGTAATTTCATACGTACCTACTACTTATCGAGCTACTTAATCATTATCATTACACCAATATGAATATTATTCTCTTTACAAGTGTATATTTTAACAATCGCAAAACTCGACTTTCTCTGTTCCTATAAAGAACACTCGTTTGCAAATACGTGAAGCATCGGAGCGCTCGAGTTTCGGGTATCGATACCTTAACGAAATCATTTTTGAAAGCAATTTCGCGTTCGCAGGAAAAGCGACACGCAGGGCGAACGGACGAGATACAAACGATACCGGCGGGGATGCAAGGACGAGGAGGAAACGTAAGACGGCGCGAATTGAATTCTCGAAAGATATTCGGCCGTGGCTGTCTCCCTTTTCTAAGAGCTTTCCTGCATAAACTCGACTTTTATTCCTCGCCAGCATATTGGCACCGTGCGCAGGTATGCGTCTGGTTTTCTTGGGGTACCTTCGAGATAATTTCGCCTCGGACCCGGCGTCCCGATAAAGAACGCAACGAATTGCTCGAGACGGCTCGGCCGCCGTGAAACTTTACCCGTGCATCGACTATGTAATTCTCTTTCAAATTCTTTCGAACTCTGACCTTACACGCTGTCATAATTATTATTGGAATTTTCATGACCTCGCATATTAATGTAATTATTATATCGTTACAGGAAATATTATGTTAATTATTATTAGAAATAGTTGAAGTAAAGTTTTACAGACTGACCTTGCTCCGGGCCAGCCTGGGGTATCTTCAGCTTGGACTGAGCGTTGACCGGCGTCTCTTTTCTTAACGGCCCCACCACTGGTACGAAACCGTTGGCCACTTGGGGCGCGGCTACGCCGGACGGTGCCAGGGCCTGGTCACTGGCGTTGGCACGGTCCTCCGTATACAAGAGGAAACACACGGTAGCCCAGGCAGCCGTCGCTAGGACGGCTACTTTCAACCACAACGATCTTCGCCTAGGAAAACCCATGGCCGATCTTCACTGCGGATCGTTCTGTCACCTGTTATCCTTCGGTTGTTCGAGCACGGTTCGATTAGAGATCGTTGTTTAGCCGGCTCGAGAGGTCGCGTTACCTGAGTAACATCCTCTCCTCTTCCTCGCTTCTTCACCTCTGCGGAATTTCGTGCGACTTCAAAGGAGCGAGGTAAAAATGAAATTTAATTGGTCGTCGACTCGGTGCGGTCAGATCACGTTCAAGTGTCGACGAGACACTCGATACGTATCGGTTGCCACGGGATCATCGTTGGACCTTCATTTTCCTTTGATATGCCTCGTTAAGTCGGTGACGTTCTTCTCCGTGGCCGGCGATTTGATATGAAGCTGATATGTTTACTTTCTAATTCGGTTTCCTCGGATATCACCGCATCCTTTCACCTGAAACGATAAAATAATAATAGATCAATTTCGATGAAGTTAGAATCGTCGTATTAAATGAATATGGATTTATACGTTCCCATAGAAATTCTGTAATGCGATTCGTATAACGTTTAAATTAGCAACGTAATTATGTGCTCGCGTTAATCAGAAAACGTCGGATTCCGTATGGACGAAAATTTTCGCATAAATAATCATAATTGAAACTGGCATTAATGCTCGGACATCGATAATCAATTTACGTTTACTATGCTGGTGTATATATGTGTATAAATGGGTCAATTAATATTGACGCGCTCTCATTATTTCAATAAATTACTACGCGTGATTGACGAGTGAAACAGAGTTTCATTTTATTCCCTCCTCGACGAGATTGCTATTTCTGCAATTCTTGTGACGGACTAAATAAAAATTCGATATTTCCCGGCGGACAGTGGAACAGGTACGCGTTGAGTCAGACGTCTGAGAATACTATTATTGGATGTAACGCAAGAAGAGAAATTATTTTTATATGTGTGTTTCTCTGAAGGTAATTAAGTACAGGAAAATGAGCGGAAAATCCTGATCAAATTTCACTGTAGAGGCTAGGCCTTTGACCTACGCCGTGGACAAATTTCAATTTTCGTTAGAAATTTCAATCAGTGTCGCGCTCCCAACTTTAAGCGGTAGCTGAATTTAATAATTACGCGTTGTTTAAAGAACAAGTTCCACGTTCGCCGGGGGTTTGATAAAACGTGTTGGAAACAAGGGTTGCGGAGTGGGCGCGATAAGAAGTACAAACTCGATTAATCAGTCGTCCCACGTCGGAACTTTTATTAATCCGACTAAAATCAGGCTGATGAAGAAACTTGCTTCGTTTCAACTTTCGACCTTAATTAACATAAAAATCGGCGATTTCCTCCTCTTTTTTTTCCCCGCGGAAGTTTCCTAACTGGCTGAAAAAGTTTAGGCGACGGCACGTCGAAAGGGATTTAGTACGGCGAGAACTGAGACGAAATATGTATGTATTTACTAGAGACATATTTGCGGTGCCCGAGGCGGGATACGCGCTACGAAGATACATCCATAAATTAACTTACGCGAAGTAATTGAGCAATACATCACCAGCCGGGATTTCATTAACCAAAGTAAATCATCCACGCGAATTTCGTTTGCGGCTGAACTTCCGATTATGTGTATACCTGAAATACAAGCTTCTGAATGTAGATCCTGCTATGAACTTAGCCTTAGCTACCCGTTCGTTGAACAAATAATATTCAACGGTAGTAATATGATCTAACCAACGAATTAATCATTTGCCTTTGTACGATTCTCACCCATCAACTATCGAAGGACTGACGGTTTCGTTATTATCGAGAAGCATGTTTTTAAGTATAGAATATGTTGCGTCCTGTTCCACAATCACAATCGATGCGGTCCACAGGATGGGTCGAAGTGACGTATGTTGATGGTTACAATAAAAAAAACTTCAATGTTGTTTAACCAAAAATGAACTGTATTTATTCAACTTGGAATTTCTCGCGTTACATTCTCTCGTTGCTGGACGAAACTCCTCTGCCCTGCTCATTGCTGTACGAACCTCCTTCGTCCAGAGACAAAAAAAACTCGAAAAGTGGGGGTTGAATTTCCCAACAAAGAAAACGGCTAAGCCAACCAAAAAATAGCAATGCGTTGACCAGAACCTTTTCCTTAGCTATTTGGAAACCTTCGACGCGTCTTAAGCTAATGGCTTCCAGCTGCTAAAAACCGTTATGTTGAGCAGGTAGAGAAAAAATAATCCTAAGAAACGCATCATTCCGCCTCCCTTGAACGGTCACGTTCAACGAAAACAGATAAACAACTATCCTAGATGTGTGGTGTGTTGTTTATGTCATACAAAATGTGTACGTGTTCCGAATCTTAAACTAATCTATATATGAAAACCATAATAC